GTAATACACACTTCTAGGGAAGTAGAAGTGGTATGAACTGGTGTGGATTGAAAAGAAGAGGCAAGTGGGTGGTTCTGGAGTCAGAACCTGGGGTGCTGACTGCTTCCACTTGGCTCTCTGAGCTCTGTAGTTGGAAGAAGGTTAGAATATGGCTGACATTCAGGTAGGTAGAGGAGCATGCAAGCTATTGAATTTACTCTAAGACTTTTGCTATCAGAGGTATGCTTTGCTCTAGCAAGGTTTTAAGACTCTCTCTCTCTCTCTCTCTCTCTCTCTCTCTCTCTCTGTGTGTGTGTGTGTGTGTGTGCACGCATGTGTCTCCAAGCCTGTAGGTGAGATGCCCCATGCACTTCTCTGACACTTAAGTCCCTTTCTCTTGCTCTTCGTGGGACAGCTATGATTTCTCTGAGAATCTGAGGATATCAGTCGGTTCCCAGCGAAAGGCATCAAAGAGAACCTCCTTTCTACACTAGCCATCTTAGTTTTGTCCATTTTTTTCTTTCAGAACTGTCAGCTCTAGCTCCACAACTTGTTAGCACAGAATTCTGGGTAATGCTGTCAGGCTTTCCTCTGCTCTGCAACTCTAAAGTAACAGTTTCTCAAAGCGAAGTCCAAGATGAGTGTATCAGATTAAGTCTAGTTTTAGCTAAGTGGAAAACCAGAAAATACAGGAAAGGGGGAAATTCTGGGAAGATTGCTGGGTGGTGGGGGGGAGGGACAGGCACACCAATTCTTTCAATGATTATACTGGAAAAAGACAAGCCTTTTGGTCCCTGCCTAGCATGTGCCTACTGGATAGGTTTTTGTCCTTGTACCCACCCCACAGAAACTTGGACTTTAATTTGCAACAGCTGTTTCCCAAGAGAGTCTAACAAAACAGGCACTGGGCAGAGCTCCTATGAACACAATTGATTTGATCATCATCATATATATCACTTGCGTATACCTCATTCCATCTTCCAGGGCAGGCAAAAAATAAATCTCAAAGAGGTTTAATAACTGCTCCGAGTTCATATGGCTTATAAGTGGAGGTTTCAAGAGGAAGTACAGCGGAAAGAATTATGAGTCTTTACTTCTAGACATTTTCTCTAAGAGCAGTACAAAACTCTGAGCTTCATCTAAAAGAGTGAATTGGCAGGGCAGGG